AATGTCCACGATTAGAACTTATATCAATGGGAAAAGGTGTACCTGCCCTAATAGATTCCACACTATTAAGACAGATGATGTACTAGTTGTGGGAAAAGGAAAACATGGATGTGGTATTGATCAACATACCTGTGGAGTTGGAACTATTGACTTCAATGTAGGTGACAGAGAAACTATTTTAATCAACACCTTGGTGGTACACAGAATCCCACTAGGATTCAACTTATAAGTTGGTACTTACATGCAGACATTTTTTGTTGCTATTATCATAGGTTACTCGGATCAACTAGCACCTGATGAAGGAGTTATCAGTATTTACATGCAGACTATTGTCCTCATTTTTGTTGTTGTTATCACAACATTTTGGCTGAAGTGCACTTGATCAAAGAAATTCACATCTTTACTCCACTACAAGCACTTTGTTGGTCCCAAGTGTAGCAGCTGCCATTGCTACCAAATGTGAATATTCAGAAGAGAGCTCCACAAATGTAGCCCTGTGTGGAGAAAATTGTGAAAATGGCCTACCTCGGAAACGCCCGCGAATCTGTGCGATGCGCAAACTCCAGTTGCTCAACAGTAAAGAGAACCAAAATAGCAACACCCATGTTTTATGCCAGGCGGTCTCAGACAGTTAACGCAAAATCTCGTTGTCTCGTCATTCACATGCAAATCGGGGTCGGTCCTCAGCTGTATAAAGCAGGCACGTTTTTGTTTCTGATTACTGGGTTTTTTGCTCATGACAAGGTTGGATGTGTGACACTGTTTTGTCGGTTAACCTCCTCGCGGTTTTTCCTATCTGCTACTATCAGTTGAGTTGTTGCTTTACCACCACAAGCTATTTCGATCTAAAATTGATCCCAGAATTCGGTGGCTCCCCCACGGGCCTGACTGTCGTCGAATGGTTTGAGAAAGCCGAACATGTTTGCAGGGTGTCCAAAATAAAAGAGCCTGCACTGGTCATCCCACTGAGACTCACAAGGGGAGCCTATGCCGTATATCAACAACTCAGGGATGATGCTGACCTAGAGGAGATCAAGAGTGCCATATATACGGCCTTTTGAATAGACCCCTTCATCGCTTGGAAACAGTTCGTAAGACGACGGCTCGAGCCGGGTGAGACTGTGGATGTCTACCTGGCTGATTTGCGAAGGCTGGCGGTGTCATTTGGCAGAGCAACGGACCGCATACTGGGATGTGCCTTCCTGGCAGGACTTCTCGACGACACCAGTCACCTCCTGCGAGCATCTTCAAGATTGGAAACACTGGGAATTGATGAATCGCTAGCCAGGGCCCGAAACATCTTGAAAGACACGGAACGGGTCGTGGCAGCTGTGAGAACACCTGAGACACCGCGGGAGGGCCCAAAGTGCTACAAGTGTGGTGGACCCAACCATTTCTCTAGAAACTGCCGGAGCCGAAGTGACGTAGGAGGCAAGAGTAGCCAACGGACACGAGCACGACTACGCTGATATCGCTGCAACGAGTTAGGCCATGTAGCACAGGATTGCTCGAGAAAACAAGTCCGGGGACAAGGTGCTGTCGCAACCCTTGCCCCATCTTGGTCAGTAAATGTGGCATTGCCTGTGATCAACGTGAGCGTTGAGGGTAAACAATGTTCGGCGCTCATTGACACTGGATGTTCCCGATCGATCGTTAGTGCGGATCGATGCGTGACATGGACCAGTCAACAAATCGAGATTCGGACGATTGACAGAGTGTCCTGGGCATGTTGTGGTGTCGGGACTGTGTTAATCCTCACAGACCGAGGGAATCATGCCAAGGTCGACGTTTTGTTGGCACATCAAATGCCCCCTCAGTTACGTCCTGCTGCTTGGGATCGATGCGATCCGAGCGTTAGGAGGCATGATAATCACGGCAGCCAGAAATGTGGAACTGGATAAAGGAAGAAAGGTGTGTGCAGCCCTTTGCATTAGTGAGTCAGATTTTGACGTCTCTTTCAATTCTGATGAGACGGTGTGGACCGCCAGGTGGAAAAGGGCCCAAAAAGACCCACCAGTTCAGCTTCACAACAAGGTCGCAGAGTACAAAGTTCCTGACAGCATCAGAGGAAAATATGAGAAAGAGCTTCAACAGTGGATTGTGAATGGCTGGTTGATTCTGTACCCCCAGGAAAGACTTTGATCCCCAAAGGATCTGATTCCTTTGATGGCAGTCGTGCAGGAGCAGAAATAGAAGGTACATCTGGTACTCGATTACGCGAATTGAATGACTTTGTGGATGCTTTTACTGCTGATGCAGAAGTGTGCGCACAGAAGCTGAGGCGTGGCGGTGGCAGGGAGTCAATGTGTCGCCTTCTGGATCTGTGAAATGCATATCTTCAGATTCACATCGACTAAGCGCTGTGGCCATTTCAAACAGTTATTTTCAAAGGCCAACGCTTCTGTCTTACATGGCTAGGATTTGGGCTAAATGTGGTGCCACTCATTATGAAATCTGTTATAGACGCCATCACATCGCAAGACCGCACAATTGAAAGTGCCACATCAGCATAGGTTGATGATATTTTCATTAATGAAAGTCTGGTCTCTGCATCACGTGTACAACAACACTTTTTGGATTACGGTTTGGTGTGCAAGAATCCGATGTGACTGAGAGACGGAGCAAGAGTTCTTGGCTTGCAAGTCTGGGAAGAGAATGGCACCCTCCGATGGAAACGAGGAAGTCAGATTTCGGAAGTCCCTGATGTGTTGACCCGTCGGCGCGTATTTTCATTGTGTGGGAAACTTGTTGGACATTTCCCAGTGTGTGGATGGCTCAGGATGGCAGTTGCATTCGTCAAGCGCCTGGCAACCGCAGCAACCAATGGATGGAATGATAACATCAAAGATCCCTCTCTCTGTCGCATACTAGCAGAGATGCTAAGTAGAGTGTGGGAACTGGATTCCATTGGAGGGGACTGGTGCATGGGTGGTGACGAGATCACAATCTGGGTGGATGCGAGTTCTGTGGCGACAGGAGTGGCATTGGAAGTAAACGGAAATGTCATCGAAGATGCGTGTTGGCTGCATCCGGCTAATGATGCCAGGCATATTAATTTAGCTGAACGTTAGTGAGCGTTCGATCGGCTTGGAGTTAGACATGCAGGGCAGTGATTCCGATATCAGCAGCCTCCCGGCGGACACAGTGTTTACCGAAACACAAACCCCAGACGAGAGCACGCATGAGGATGAAGCTTGTGTTGTCCCCCTTCGGAGGGGGACTTGACAGCGACGATCGCCACCTCCTTGCCCTGTTTCTGATCATGAGATCAGGGGGTAGTGTGGAGAAAATTGTGAAAATGGCCTACCTTGGAAATGCCCGCGAATCTGTGCAATGTGCAAACTCCAGTTGCTCAACGGTAAAAAGAACCAAAATGGCGGCCCACATGTTTTATGCCAGGCAGTCTCGGACAGTTAACGCGAAATTTCATTGTCGCGTGCAAATCGTGGTCGGTCCTCGGCTGTATAAAGCAGGCACGTTTTTGTTTCTGATTACTGTTTTTTTTTTTGCTCATGACAAGGTTGGATGTGTGACAGTGTTTTGTCGGTTAACCTCCTCACGGTTTTTCCTATCTGCTACTATCAGTTGAGTCGTTGCTTTACCACCACACCCTGCCAAAACTATCTGGAACAAAAGCCACGATGTTTAATTTTAAACCAACTTTGTGTGTATTCCCAAGCATCTATCCCTTAAATATCTCTCATGCAACTACAACAATCACCATAAAGGGCAGACAGTTTACTGCTCTTATAGACACTTGTAATTCAGAAAACTTTATGAGTGAAGACATATTCAACCTATTAAACCCCAAACTCCACCCCTGTCCAAAAAAAGGGTCTATGGCTCTTAAAACCATGGAAGCCAACTATATCATTGTTTGCATTACCAATTTAGAGGTAGGCACCAGGAAATACGCAAAAGTGAAATTCAGAGTCCTGGATAACCTATAGGTATCGGTAATTCTCAGATATGAGTTTCAGAAGCCACACAAAAACAATCTTCACATGATAGAAACAAAGATGACTTAAGAGTTGGTGGGAGAAATGCACACTCTTGCTGTGGCTAAGGTAAATATACCTAGTATTTTCCAGTATACCTGTGAATGTCTGCCCTATTGCTACCGAATCCTAGTGTTTTAATAGAGATGATCAGGCATTCATTGAGAGGAAAATTTTACCATTACTCTCAAATAACATCATTGAACCCTGCTACTCACCATGGAGAGCCCAATTAATTGTTCTTAAGGGTGGATTTAGTGATTCAATCAAATATAGACCAGGGCCTGACAATGTTGGCACTAGCTCACTGTGCAGCCATAACAAGTTCCTCTCTAAACAAACTTCTTAGTAGTTTATGTCAACCAAGAGTCGCACGGATGTTACATTTTGTCAAATGCAAAAACCTTCCATATTCAACAGAAGATTTGAAGAAGGTTTGCCCCGAACTGAAGTCAAAGTTCTTCAAGCCTTCTGCCCCAGGAGAATTAATAAGGGCATTGGGTCCCATGGACCAGTTAAGCATAGATTTTAAAGGGCCCTTAACATCTAATACTTGTAATAAGTATTTGCTAATGGCTATAGATGAATATTCCAGTTCCCTGTTTGCTTTTTCATATCCAAATGTCAACTCAGTGACAATGATAAAATGCCTTGACCAAATTTTAAGCCTTTGCACATTCCTATCTGATAGAGGTGTATCCTTTATTAGCCAAGAATTAAAGACCCACACCTAACTCAGAAAAGAATAGCCACAAGCACACCTAAACTGATTATATCTAACATAATTACATAATTGTCAGCATTTAATGGAAAAATCAAATTACAAAGCATTTCAAATGAGAATACTATTCAACTAATATAATGCATAAATTACACAAAATTACAGAGAAACAAAAATCGCAAAATATATTTTCTTATATTAAACTGAAAAGTTCATTAAGAATTAGACAATGAAGTAAGATATTTTTCACAACAAAGCTGTACACATGCTGATATACTTACCCATGGACCATTCCATATTCCTTGTAATTAACTTGGATAAATTTCCCAAATCGACTAGAATTATTATTATGTACCGTTTTTGCATTTCCAAATGCCTGCAACAAATTGAAGATTTACATATTATTCAAAATCTTTTCAAAACAAGTCTGAAGTTTATGTTGTTACAATCATATAACAATTTCCAATTTTTTTAAATTTTAAGCAATTTATTTTAAATTTATGATATTAGAAGACAAAACCAGATAAAAGATTACTGCAATATCACCAACATAACATGCAAAACTGGATCAAGTAGTTTATTTGGTTTTGAGTTTTGCAACAGTTGTAAATGGAAAGTTAAAATTCTGATATATGCCTCCACATGAAAAGGACAATAAATTGGCTGGTAGTGGCACTACAAAAAGTAAAAGCTAACTCAATAGAACTAAACTAGCAAAACAGTTCTGACAGATTCCCCATGAATACAGTTATTCAGCATATCACATTATATTGGGAAGTTTATTTTGGAGAAAGAATATCTACCATTGCAGAAGTAAAACACTAACTGAAGGCCTGCACAAATATTGTTTTGAAATTATTTACAAACAAGAAATCTATGTTGGCTGAATATAAAGTTAAATAACTAGCAAAACCGAGATTTCATAAATTAGAAATGTATAATCTTTGTGTAACATGTGAATAAAATCTGTAATATGCAATGAAATAATTATGATAAAATAGAGCCACTGCAAATATGCTACATAAATTGTAGAAAATATTCATTGTGTATTACAAGTTTTATAAAAATTAAATATAAAACATTTGTTAGTGGAGAAAAAAAAATGATGTGCAAGGAACAATGGCATTAAATTTTAGTAATTAAAGTAAAAACTATGGTTATTAAAGATTTTAAACTGATTACTATGGCAATTCTATCAACAGTTTTAACAACTAGAGAAGCAAATGATATTAATATATATCCTAAGGTGTAATTTCTAAGTTTGTCTCATTCTTTGAGAAAGACATCAACTTCAAGTTAACAGATTTTTATTAATTTGACAGTTTTATGAACTTCATTTCAAAACAATTTATTTTTTGGAGGTTTTAAAGACAAATTTTGTTTCTGTAACTGATTCGAGTAATTGATAAAAGGAAATAGAATGATGAAATTTGTACAAAAGTGGCACCTATTCAGTTGCTTAATTTACAAAAATGGTTTAATACTTTATATCTTGAGGTAGAGGAATTAATCCATAAGCTTATCTAAACAATAAGAATACAAAAGTAATCTATTCACTAGAAAAAGTAAACAGGTTGTCAGAATTTGTCTTCATACCACATGCACTTTATCAGATTTAGCATTAAAAAAAAAAGAGAAACTACTTTTTTGGGTTTTAATTTGTATCATGTAAAAGAAATTATAGCTACTTAGCTATTTTACTTTATAAATAACTCAGGCCACCTAAACATAGACAAGAAATTGTTATACTGGGTTTATATAAATTCACTTGCAGCCAGACAAGAAATTAGGAACAGAATTTATACTCAAAAAGAAAAATACTTTTGACTCAGTGAAAATCCACAATACCCCAGAAGTATGAATATATATTAAAAATAATTCTATTTATTTCTACTTATTTCTATGATGTCCCTATTTTTTCCTCTCCATGTTATTTAAATGAACAGAAGAACTAAAAGTGACATTAAAAACGACCAAATGTCATAAGCATCCAAACTGGGTTGGAGAGTACAGTAATGAATATAAAAGCAGCTAAAATAAAGACAACAGTTTTTTAAATTACCTACTTAGTGTAAGTTCTTCCAATTTCATAAACTGTATTTTGTATAAAATTGCAGAAATTAAAAAAGAAAAATTGGTAATGCTTTTTGTTGTTTAAAAGTTTTAAGTTCAACTCCTCAAAATAACATCATCAGATAGTTTTTCATTTTTTGTCTATTTCCATTATAGAACTGAAAATTATACATAAGCATGACATGAAAGCTTTAACTAGTAAACATTCTCAGTAAATGAGTAAATCTGTAACTAAATTCAAAGTGGCTTCTCCTTTCTGAGTAACCATGTGATGATGAGGAAGAAAACCACTCCTCTTCTGACAGAGATTGGGGTCAGGATTCAGAATTCTAAATCAGCTCTAAAATTCACATTGGGCAAAATTCCATTCGAGACATACACACAAGTTATTTTCGTCTTATGGGATATACTTTTGAGACAGTTTTCTGTAATATGCATAAAATTGAATAAAATCATAATGCAAGCAAGTACTGTGAGAGTAAGAGGTTATGTTATCTAGTGGCAGTAGTAGAGGTGATGGTATCTCAAATAGCAACAGCAAGATGGCCTGCTCATTCTTACGCTGGTCACTCCTTCACAATATCAGCAATAACAAAGTTGTTCAAATAAGGAGTTCCCTACTTCCTTTTTTAATGACCAATGTTAAGTGTTCACTAAAATAATATATTCCTACAAGTAATGCCTAAAAATTATTAGTTAGATAAAGATTTAGCTTTTAACTTTTTTTTTCTAATTCTGACCATCTTTTTCTGATAGACCTAATCTCAGCAATCTGGCAACACATACTTTTCTCAAGACAAAAATGATACAAGGTTTGCTGATTAATATTCATTTTATCATTATAGAATTTTCTAAGACTATAATAGCAAATCAGGACAGAATAGAGCTAGAAAGAGGAAGTACAAAGTTAAGTGAGGAAAGCAGTACAATCTGCTGTTTGATGATAAAATGAAAATTGTTAGAAAAGAGGTGAGAGACCTTATAACATATTACCAGTGTCATTTACAATAAATTCTTTACAGCAGATATGACAAACCAACAGTTTACCATAGGCTGGAAATGATATCTAACATTATCAAGTCATGATACAGACCCTATTGCATAATTCTGGAGAGGGGAGAAAAATTTTTTCTTTGATAGTTTAAATTACATAAGGTATTCATTTGCTGTATACAATGATGTAACTCAGTGTTAAAACCGGTTATTTTTTCCTAATGAAACCATTAGAGTTTTTTTTAACATTTGTGAATTGAAATTAAATAAACAAAATCAGATTGCAAAACAGATGTGAAAGTCTTTTTGTGATGAGTGTAGAGTGTATCGTGGCATCAATTCAGCAGAAATGATAAAAACTGAAGTCTAATGGCTATCAAAATATATTTAGAGGTTCATATGGTAAAACCCACACCACATCCAACAACTGTAGTCACCTATGAAAGCCCACCCTTCCCACACTTATTTTGTTTTTAGGGATGCTTTTTTTTATTTGCTGTCTCTCTAGTGAAGATGATAGCAAGTTAGAAAAGAATTATTTATGCAAAGTGTTTTGCTTTCACTTCTTGAATCTTTTACCACATTGGTAGAAAATATTGTCCATATTTACCTACATATATAAAAGGAAAAGTTACCTTATCTGGAATCTACATGTCAAGAGCTGCAAGCTTCCTAATATCTTCATCATAATGAAAATCATTGGCTAAGTTACATAATGGCACATTTCCAAGTATACTGACAAAGATTTACTTTCATTCAATCAGCCACTGTAACCATAGGTTTTAAACAACTTTTTGTTGACTATAGAGTTTTAATATTTATCACCTTCAATTTTTCTGATTTTATAAGAAAAAAGAGTTATCAGGTTATTTTTCCCTAACTTGATTATTTTTATCTGGTTATTTTTTGTACCTGAGAATACTTTACATGTAAAAATTGCTCCTGACTTTTCATGGGATTTTCCTGAATATTTTTCTTTTAGTTTTTGTAAATATTTCTTACTCTGTGGATATTTCTCCTGATTTTTCTTTGGATTTTTGTAGATATTTTTCTTTACTTTTCTTTGAACTTTTGCAATATCTTTTATACCATAATCAGAAAGAAAAGAAAAATAGAATCTGAGCATAGGGGTTTTAACCCTGATTGGAATAAATATTTTGTCATTCTTTCTACTAACAATAAAGGCTGCTTTGTAAGCTTTGAAACACTTTCCATTTCCAAAGAATACAATGTGAATTGGCACTTTAACATCAAGAATCATATTTATACAAAACTAAATTTGCATGAAACATGTATTACAGCAGCCAGTATGGTGACAAATCTTAACACAGAAGAAAGGTTTAGCCAATACAAAAAATTAAACAGTAACAGATACGTTTTGAAACTTCCAGGGAAATTGCTGCTACCTAGAAATTATTCATAAAAAGAGACTTAAAGAAGTGCATAATAATTACTGCATCAAGAATATTTCCAGAGAAAAGGGGGTATTGCAGAATGCGAGTTTCTCACACATGATGATACAGAAAAGAGTAGCTGACATTGCTGCAAGCTTGAGTGGATAAAAATTTTGTCACATGAGAAATTTGTTACCATGTAGCCTTTGAGTGATTGTGCAAATTGACACAATATCTTTAATGAAATAAGAAAATGTATTAACATAAAATTAGAAAATGATCTCATAAATTTAGTGTCTGCTTGCACTGATGGTGCTCCTGCTATGTGTGTGAGAAAGTACTGGAGCTATTTTTCTTCTACAAGAATACTATGGGAAACAAATATTCATCCATGCAAATTGTGTGTGGAAAAATTATAAAATTCAATCATGTTATGTCTGTTGCACGCAACAATGATTTCAATAGCAATAAGGAAAAAAAAGAAACAAACTAAAACAAACCAGTGTTAAAAAATGAATGCCGTTCATTTAATCATATAACAATGACTAGACAGCAAAAATTCAACTGTTTATATATCCTTACTTCTAGTAAAATTTTAAAATTAGGACCTGATGAATTTAATTACTGGTCATCATTTTCATTAATATTGTGATGCTTGCTTGACACTTGACAGAAAGTGGGGTTTTTGAATTGTGAGACAATGAACAGAGTTAAAAATTCAAGAAGCCAGAAGTGATATGTAGCTAAAATTATAGAGATAATAAAGGAGGAAAGTCTATATGAAAAGTAATTACAAATTAAATTTATTATTAATTTTATTGGTTATTTTTGTACTAAAGGCTGTACTATAAAAATATTTTCAAATTTTATGTCAGCAGAATGGTGGCACATCGTAATTTTTTTCTAAAATATATCAAAGTGAAAAGTAAGAAAAAACTCTGTATTCCATTGAGACCTATAGTCAGCTGCAGAAGTTCAGCATTCTTGGTTAATATAGTCAACCTACTAACAGAGAAGTCTTTGTGACATGTTAGGAACTCAGAACACTTTGTGGAATCAATCTGAGGAGATCCCATTCATAACAATTAGATGGTAAGCTTAGATGTGGGGAGCCTATTTGTCATGGTTTCTACAGATTAGGCTATACAGTGATTCAAAACCGAATGGAATTGAACTGCTGCCTTAGAAATCATACTTGGATCCTGATATATAACTTAATAGAAATGTCATTCTGTGTACAGATAACATTCCTATAGCTAGGGCCTGACATATACCAACAGGAGCGGGTGGCTATGAGTTCACCATTGTCACCAGTGATGGCAGACATACATGGAATATTTTGTAGAAATGGCTTTAGGAATGGCACTACTAAAGCCAACAGTATGGCTGAGATACATATATGATATCTTCATAATCTGGCTTCACCAGGAAGATGCACAAATACTGCTGGACCATGTGAACTCAGTAAGACTTTTGACACAGTTCACAATGAAAGAAACTGGCCTTTCTGAATGTACTAATAACCTAGAACAGGTTCAAGACACCCATATATCACAAGCCAACCTTCACCAGACAGTATCTTAATTTCAATTCACACCATTCATACTACTTAAAGAAAGGGATCATCCAATGCTCACAACACCATGCAATAATCATAATTGATGACCCAGACACACACCAACAAGAGATGATCAGCATCAGATGTACTCTTCAGAATAACAAATATAACATCAGCAGATAGAAACAGAAAAGTCAACGAGATGGACTAAAAAACTGCAAGTCTGTATGTTAAAGGCTTATTGGAAAAGATTCAGAAGGTCTGTGGTTCATACAACATCGAGACAATATTCAGAAGCAGCTCAAACTTATAGAGAAATCTATCAAATCAAGCCTAGCACAGAGAAGAACATGACCAAAAATTGCATTTGTGACAAAGAATGCAAAACTGAAACAAACTGCTCCCTAAAAATAAAGCTGGAGGAACATCAGTCAAGCATAGAAATAAATACAATATGGGAGCCACTAATAAAGAAAGAGAAATGACAGCAAGGTTTCAACAGCAGCAGCAAGAAAAAGAGAAATCTCAATAAATGCAGTCATAGCATGGCAAGTAACAGCAGTATAAGTGGTAGGCATAAAGCATTAGCCTATTGGATTAAAGCATGGCTCTTGAATTTTGAGTTCAATCCCTTGGCTGAATAGTGCAGACAAATTCAGTGAAAAATGAGTGAGCAATAACAGAGTAGTACTAAATAAGAACTATACAAGATTTCCCTAGACATTACCAGCAGAATGAGAACAGTCTATCCCTGTAGATAAAATAAAGGGTTCATTTTGAAATTCCTTGGAAGGCACTGGGATTGACAAGTACCTGATGGAAGCTGGAGTGTACAACAGCTGAAAGAGCTGATAATAATAAGACAACTCATCCAGGAAATTCAGACAAAGAAAAAAAGGTTAAAGATGCCTGCTTTTGATCATTTTTTTTTTACCCAGATTAAATTGTTCAAAAGTTTTTTTACATGGGCACTCAACCAGTTACATATTGCACACAAGCTCTACTTCATAATCTATATAATAATTTGATCACAACCATTTTAGTTGTAAAGGTTTTAAGCAAAGAAGGAACAATAAAGAAAAGTTAATGCGTATTATTTAATTTTAGAAATGTTTAAAAGCTGAAACAAAATTATTAAGCACTTTACTAGAAATAAAAAATAGAAAATTTTTAGGTATAAATCAATTTAATTATCAAGTATTTCATTTAAAATTTTCACTTTAATGAAGATTTCATAAAATGAAATAAAACATGCTTGATGCACTTACAGTTTCATTGTTTATGTGTTATTTGTTTTATAAAGCATGCTTTTCCAATTCAGCAGTCTGCTATGTTTGCTGTATAAAGTGATACAGAAAAAGTGAGTTCTATTGAAAAAATAGTTTTTAAAATATAAAACTAATTATAAACCCCAAGAAAAATGTGAGCCTTAGTTAATTATGTCATTGAAATGAGATTCTAAGAAAAGAGACTGCTATAGAATAACTGTTTGGATATATATATATATCAAGTTTGAAGAGACATTGCTTGGGAAAACTGACATGGAATACAGAAGCAGAAGTGGACTCATGGCTCAAAATAAACTTATCCTACCATCCTAGGTATGATAGTACATTGTTTAAAAAAAAAAAAAAAAAAAAAACACCCAATGCCAGGACAATACAAATTTTTTAATTCAAATTATATTCTAAATCAACTAATTTCTTAATATTTTTTTTTTCTTTTTTTACAACAGTGACAGGCTTTTAATAAATTAAGTAAACAAAAAATTAACAAAAATAAAGCAGTTCTTTTTCTGGTGAATGAAACCTGAACTTTGAAGGACTTTAATTTATGTATTTGTATTATTTATAAATATGAAAAAAAAAACATTAAATACTAATTCTAAGAATTAATTTTTCCTTCAAGAAAAAGTCATAATTTTTGCCAAGTTTTTACTGAAAAAACTTGAATGAAATATTAACAAACAAAATGTATGTGTTATGTTTTCTGTTTATCATAGACTAATTTGAAAATATGTGGGGAGTCTAAAATATAAATGCTGAAAATTTAGTCAATGCAAGGTAGATAATTGTAAATGAAAATATTTTGATAAAGACTTAAAACTTTTTTTTACATTATTTACATGCAGAAAATTTTTTGTTTTTATTATCACATTGATTTGACCCTTCAGGAAATTTTGAAATTAACTCTTTCTTTAATATACAAGAGTAGATTGTTCTCATTCTACTGACCATGTTTAGTGGTACCTTGTTTAGCTATTATTTAGTGCTACTCAATTTTTGCTTATCTCATTTCTACTGAGTATAAATAAGCACTGATCCAGGGATGGATTTCGCGACTATTATATCATCAAATTCACAAGCCAATGCTTTAATCTACTGTTATTTTCCTGCAAGATAATCCTGAATGAAAAACTTGGAGCCTTAAACCTAGTTTATCCATTGATGAGATTGCTGCTGCTTGTCTGCCCTCACCAAAGCTTCTCTGTTCTACTGCAGCTGCTGCTGAATGCTTGCTGTCATTTCTTTTCTTTTTTTATATTAACATCTCCTATATCATTTATTTCTATGCTAGGCCAACTAAGGAAGTTCTCATAGCCTTGCATATTCAGATTTTTTTCAAATGTTTTGACTCTTTGGTGTTCTCTGTCTAATTTTTTTTAATTTGTTTCAGAGGGCTTGACAAAAAGCTTTTTCTCTGTATACATGATCAACCATGCCTGATTTCTTTGTCTCACTTTTACTTCTACAGCTTTTCAATATTCCTCCAGACTTACTTTAAGAGAGCAGCTAGTTTCATCTTTATATTCTTTGCCATGACTGCAAAGAATGTAATACACCCAGTTTTGGGTCATATTCTTCTTTGTGTTAGGCTTGACTAAGCAGAAATTTCTCCATAGTTTCAAAATACTACTGAATATTGTCCTGATGATTTAGACAGGGACTTAAAACATATTTTTGATTGTGAATAGTTGGAATGTGCTAATATTTTTTATATAGAAAATAAATGTATAAAGCACAATTCTTAAAGTATTATTAAAGTTACTCTGAGCATGAAAATTAATAATATTTATATGTAACATTATTCAAGATAATTTAAGCAAAATATTTAAATAAAAATAAGAATGTGATTTTTATAAAAGTTACAGTAAATTTTAACTAATTTGTATTTATTCATTTTTAAAATTAATATTTTAGCTTTTTCTCTTTTTGTTACAACCTGTACTATTCACAATTAAAACTAATTTCTGCATAGACATATAGTAGCTGTAAGCCAAAAAGAAAATAGTCAAAAAATTTATTGGATCAAAATGAATATTTATTTTCTAAACATTTCAATAAAGTTTTTAGTATAAAGCTACCAACAACTGTTAAAAAAAAATTTTGATTTTAGGATAGCTTAAAATTTTTCTAATAATTATTTTTTTTTTTTTGCAGAGGATGCATGGTTTCAGACTGATGATGAAAAATGTTAAGTTGGAGTCTTGGTTGAATTATTAGAAACATCAATCTTTTTCTTTGAAGCAAGTAAAATTCTTAAGCTTATAAATCTTGCTTGTTAAAAGTATTTTCTTAACTGCACAATAATAGAAATTATTTGGCTGTGGATTCTACAGAAATATCCTGGAGTGATATTTATGGATAACACATGTTGTTAACCATGAAAAACAGGTCAAATAAAAATAAATAACTTGGTGATTATCAGTATCCAAATTAAGTTGATAAAATTGAAACTAATTGCCAGCTCTGAATCAAAATCTTACCTCCAGCACTGGTCCTGCACCTAGGATCGTCTGCTCTACCCCTGTGGCATGATTTCCTTTTTGACTTAAAGCAGTCAAGTGATGTAAAAGGAGGTTGGTACTCTCCGTTTTCCCTGAGCCTGACTCTCCAGATATCACAATACACTGATTCTTTTTGGTCCGTAACATTGTGGAAAAAGCAGCATCTGCTATTGCAAAAATATGCGGTGGCAAATCACCAAGCCATTTGTACTGGTACATCTTTACATATTTGGGGTTATAGATGGGAAAGAACTTAAATGGATTTACAGCTATCAAAATAGATCCAACATAAGTATAAATATTGCCATTATAAAACCTTGCTTTGATGTTTTCTAACAACGTCTTCTCATTTAAATCTGGTAAACTGCACAAATCTGGGTACTCCTTATCACTGGTTGGTTGCTTCAGGAATGTGGTCAGAAAAGAATCAACAGGACTAGGATGCTTATAATCTAACCAAGAAAGACTTCGACTATTAAACTCCACGTCTTTTTTTCTGATGTAAAATCGGTAGCCAGTTGAGCCTTGGCTGGAGTAACTGTCTTCATTGAGCACTTTTGGCCAGAGAAGTTGAATTCTAACAGGATTCTCAGTGGCCTCCACACACCGCTCTTTGCACAGCTGGCCACCAGAACAGAAGACTTCAGCAACCTCAAAATTGTCAGGGTTGCCAAGTTTCAACTTCTTGACGGCCATCTTGATAACATCAACAGCAAGAGTGGTTTTCTCTGCTTCAACCATAACAAAGTCATTTTCTGAGCTCAACTGGCCCGTATATAGGCACACTCCATGTACATCCATCATTTGGCAAAGCTTTACACAAGTGGACAAATTGGGAATTTCCAGTGAGAAGATGCCAGAGACATCTCCAAAAATTTGGTTTCAGAATTGGTTGTAGATTTCCAATGAAACATGTTGAAACATCAATGGAGTTTTCAAGGTACTTGACTCAAATTGATCTGAAAGAGAAAATAAGAAAACTTTATTTTCAATCAATTATACAAAAAACTTTGCTATATTAGCACTCTACTAAATAAACAAGTAAAACCTTTCCAATCTAAAGAAGTTATCACAGGTAAACAAATTTTTGTTTTTTTAATGAATGCATCAAGTTTTTATATTCTATGGAACATTTAGCACAAAAATGAGAATACAAATTGCTAAGTCTATAATAGTTGGTAAGAACATGCCACCCAACTATATAAAGTTAAATTTGAATCTTGGTCATATCAATAGAAAAATATGAAAAATTGTTACTTGAAACACAATTTAAGTTTGAAAATGTAAAAATAAATTAAGAAAAGTATTTATTACTGTTAGGGTTATAACATTTTTTTTCTTTTTCCTAAAAATAATGAAATTAATTTCGCTGAACAGTAGCTTATAATAATAAAAAAAAAAAGAAAAAAAAAAGGTCCTAATTTCTCTCAACTAATAAAAAGGAATTTGCATAAAATAGTAGTAGTACTTTCTGGCAACTATAATGGGGTGAAGTGTCATGAAATATTCAATTGGAAAACTAACATTTAATTTTCCAATCGAGCATTTCACTACACTCTACCTCTCTATTGACTATGATGAACTGCCAATAGCTGTCACACCTTTTGACTGTGATAGACTACACCTATTGAATATCTGTTTGCATCTCAACTAATTAAGAATTATGAAGACCTGAAGGCACACTTTGTTAATGGAATAAAATGAGATCCTTGATAAATCGGGGTGGAGGAATGATATGTAGTTTTTGTATCATAAAGGGGTCTCCCAGAGCTCTATCCTTGAACTTACATTGTGTCTTATCATCAATGACTTGCCTTAGATCATTAGTTCCCAAATAGGTATTTATGCTGATGACAACTATTTACACCTGTCTTAGTAGCAAGTAAAATAGGCCTGACAAAATAAAACTGGCAATTTCTCTCAAAAAGGGCCCCCCAATCAGTATTTAACTGAGATAAAAAAATGGCTTGTAAATTTTAACAACTCCAAAATAAAACTGCTTTCATTTAATCACTACATAGAAACTTAGCATGGTTGATGCTAACCTCCAGGAGAGCAACACTGCACCTTCTTAGACTCACGTTTTCCATGGACATGAAGTGGAGCGATTATATTGAATCAATTGCTAGGTCTGCTGCTAGGAAAGTTGGTTCAATGTGCTATACCAAACAATTTAATTCTCATCAGAATTCATCTTGCACATTTATCAATCTACCATTCGTCCATGTATTAAATATTGCTGCCATATTTTCTTAAAATTATAAAAATCAAAAAAGCAAGAAGCAGCAAGGTATTTATTGTAGAGTTTAGAAAGAACAGGAATACATTTCTTAAGGACTACTGAAGAGATACATTCAAAGTCATGTGCTCTGTGGGGATAAAGTTTAGAGATGATAGCAGAAACCATGAATAGAGTTATATTCCTAACATTCAATAGACACTCAGTTTTAATTGGAACCTCAAGCAAAGATACTCCAGAGAAGTCAGGTGTAGAATTTCCAAGCAAAAGATTCTGCTTTATCAGCAGAAGATGTTAATAACTTAAATTGAGTGAAGAGAAGAGGGAAAGAAGTTTTACTCTTATTCAACACACTATTACAGAGTCACCAGTAGTCACAAGAACCAAACTTGTTAGAAGCTGTACAGTGACTCATACTATTAGCAAACAAAGACTTAGCCTCTTGGAAGACACATTTACAATTATTACGAGCAGACACAAATATATGCCTGATGTGATCATAACTATCACACTGGTACAGCCAGGAAACCCGAATCCTTTGAGATATAGCTGCTGAACAGGCTGGTGTTAACAAAGGAGAAGGTTTTAACTGGTATTTCTGAGAAGGTACAAAAGCATCAATGCCGGTTTTAATCTAAGAAGAAACCTCACTGACACAATTCTCAATAGGAATGTTAAGAATATCAATTCAAGAAAAAAAAAAAAGAAAATCACAAAATGAACACCAATCAGTATGCTGGTAACAGAAAGGAGTCTTGTGAATAGGAGGTTACTGCCTAATAGATGATTCAAAAGAAATATTAATAGATACAACAACATGATCCAAATTGCCAAGGGGAGCTCAACAAGAGTTAGGAGAGGAGGTAAATAACAATGTTGATCATATTTATTAGGGAAACAAGTAAGGAAATCCACTATTTGACTGAGAGACTGAACGATGGAGAAATTGTAAGTTTCAATATCGGAAACATCAGTAAGATTAGAATGCTTAAGCCACTTGATGCGATGAACCAATAACAAAAATATTAGCAGTTGAATGTAGATAGACGGTATTTCTATATTATGAGAAATTTTGTTTAATATATTAGTCCTGAGAAGAAGGAGATCAATAATGGAAACAGAGTGCAATAACAAAAGTTGAAAGTACATGAAAGAAATAATATGGAGACTCAAGAATTCCTTGCAATTGATTTTCCTGAATATAAACAAGTCCATGCATATGTCTCCTTGAATCTTTTTGACAAAGTTTCACAAAGGGCAAAGATATCTGGAGAATGTTTTAAGAGAAAAGATTCTACTCTACAGAAATTGGAACAAATACCACAAATATTGGAGAAAGAAAGGTTGAGGGGATAGGTGATTTTTTGTTTACTGATTTACTTTTCATTGTACACGTCATAAGAAGATTTGTTTTAAGAAGAAAAAGGCCAAAATAATTATCACTATCATTCAGGTTTCCTGGTCAGAGGTCAAGGTAGACCTAAGACGTAGAAGTACTTGCCCACATTAGCCTGCTTGAGAGGGATGCTTGGAAAGAAAGAGTGAGAGCTAGTTGACTGCTGCCTATCCCAGTGACTGGGAAACCCACAGCAATATAATCAAATCTCCAAATCTTGACTATGACAATACAAAATGGCCAGAAGGTGGCTAAGACTAAAGCATAATATAGCCTCAAGGTCAACCACCAAAAAATACATGCACTGACACCTATCCATGCACAACGTGGCACTGCAAATAACCCAATATCATGCAACTGTTGATCAGGGCAACCTTTCTAAGCACTACCAAAGAGTTCACACTCCTTACTATGAGTCAGATGCAGCAACCAGAAAACTGCCAACCCAGTACCCACATAATGAAAAGTAGCAGCCACTGATCAGTCAGATTGCCAAAAAGTTAAGGCAGTTTAAATCATTATGGTCATGGAAGAAAGAACTGGTATACCACATCCTAAAAAGGAAACAATTGATAAACCTCTACTCTTGTTCAATAAACAGGAAAGGAGTATTGGCCAGACAATAAGCAAACCCATCTACTCCTATTAGCCTGTTCATAGCACAGGAGGCTGGGTTAATTTATCAAGACACCATTTCTAGGAACATTGTTGAATAAGGCTCTGGCCATCTTCCAAGCCAAAAGGGTATTACTAAATTATTAAAACCTCTTTGTAGGTTATCCCAGGAGTTGAAATCAAAGGAATATTAACATAAAATCAAATCACATAATCAAGTTAAAATTAATAAAAATTTTAAGTTTTAATATACATGCTCACATGCAAACATATATTTTACACTGGACATCGGAATAAAAACTTTGTTGTCAAATGGACAAGTTATTCTGATTATTATAATTTCTGTTTAAATGATGCATAAAGTTTTAGTTAATAACAATATTCCCTAACTATTACACAACTGAAATTGAATTTTAAAAGATTTTAAAATTTTATAAATTACTCTAATTAAAATTTAAAAAAATGAAAACAAATCTTTCAAAATTTCATTATTTAACAAAAAATTTTTATTCTTTAGACAATAGTGTCCTTAATATATTTTATTGATAAAAGCAATTAAAAGCTTTTCTAATTAAATAATGTCCTCTAATTAAATAATGTTTTATTGTATTTTTTTTTAATTTAAAATTCAAAGCAGATTTTCAGTAAGATGGAATCCAATTTTACAAAAGAAAATTGATGATTTAAATTCTCCAAGGATTTCTGCTTTTAACTAATATCACTAAAAGTTACCCCATTGAATTTCTTGAGTTTTCATAAAATTAGTTGGGTTGCAACAGAAGAAAAAAGAAAAAAAATTTTTTTACCAGGATTTTCTAAAAAAAAAAAGTACATTTTTAAAATAATTTCATACAATTGTGAATAAGTGCTGAAAGTTTCATTAAAATCTGACAACTATTTTATTTTTGCAAGAATTTAAAAAAAAAAAATAAATAAATAAATAAATAAAAATTGCTAAAAATAGCTATGCCAATTTATAGTCCATCCGCTGACACAAGAAAAACATGATTTTTAACCAAAATCTTGAATGTTCTAAAAAGGATTAAAAATTATAATTAAATAATCAAAAAATACTTTGGTCTTTCCTCTTCATAATGAAGATTTTGACAATAAAAATGTTTTATCAAGTTTGGGGCATTTCTTCACCATAATATGCATCCAATCTATTCTTATGTTAATTGGCTTACAGATGACTGAATATAATTTGCTCATGTACAAAGTTAATGAAAGATTAACTTTTTCAACATTTTATTTGTAAGTCTTCAGTTTCAAACAATTTTTTCAATTTAGATATCTTTGAGGATTAAGATTCAACCCATTGATATAATTCTTCAGAATATATTTTTTTTTAAATCTTGATTACTTATGGCATCAGTTTTATTATTAACTAGCTTAAAAGCTGCCCTAGTGGGCATGATTTAAGCTAGCTCCTGCAGAGGGCTCTTGATTGGGCTTTTGGCTTGTTCAGGAGTTTGAGAGTCCCTAAGTCTTTGCATATTCTCAGTATTGGAAGCTTTCCTGGCTGCTGTTTGATCAGAGTTTTCATTTGCATGGGACTTTCTTTTTGTTGCTGCAGCCTTGGCTTTTTTGATTGCAATCTGGTCCTCTGTTAACAGAGATTTCTTTTTGCAAGGCATAATGCTACTGTATAAACAATACACTACAGAAGAACTCAAAAGTGATTGCTGCATTTAAGTATTGCATTAATA